ATAGAACTGCCTTCTTGAATCTGCGACATCTTTGGCGTCAGAAAGGAGTTTTCCTCCGTCTGTAAGGCCGTGTCTACAAGGTCACAATGGGGACCGTCCTACTTTATGGCCCGTAGGATCTGTGGTGCCTTCAAGTCTTTGATCACGGTTATCTGCGAAGCATTGCTACTGTCGGATGGCAGCAGCGTGTCCGCAACGATGACGTTCGTAGGCGAGTACTAGGCAGCAATAACCAACCTAGTTACTTGGGACAATAGACAGCATTGTATAAATTGCGTTGGCTTGGGCACGTACTACGTATGCCCAATCACCGCTTAACGAGGACGGCGTTCTTTTGACTACTAGGTGTAGAGTGACGCAAGGCTCGAAGTGGACAAAAGCTGTATTGGTAGCGTGAAAGGAAGTCACTGACGACCAAACTGGGTGCCGTCGGTCCGTCTGGCCTTCCAGGATGGAGTCTAAGTCCAATAGTGTATGATGGGATAAAAAGCATTGGCTTTACAAGACCCATAGGATGGTAAATGCAAAATAAGTACAAATCATTAGATTCCGACATGGAACTGAAATGCCAATAGTCTAAACCTGGTACATTACACCACAATGTGTTGTTTGTCACTCAGATGAATGTCTAACAATTGTTTGAAGGCTGTAATGTTCGGAGCGTTTACCACATGCGTTGGCAAGTCATTCCATTGTGAACAGATTCTAAGAGAGTAAAAATATTTTCTACAGTCTAATCGGGAGTGTTGGATTATCAGCTTGAGGTTATGACCTCTCGATCGCTTATATGAGGCTAGGGTGAGCAGCGATTTGCACGGGTGATCGCTTTCCGTTAATATCCGGTATGCGAGAATGAGATCTCCGCGTAGTCGTCGGTATTCGGAGGAAAACATTCCGATTAAACTGAGACGCACTTCATAATTGAGACCAGATAATCCGCGTGTTGCCTTGGTAGCTCTTCGTTGGGGCTGCTCTAAGAGATGAATGTCTCGTTTTAACCATGGGCACCAAGCCTGGACGGCATATTCGACGTGGGGACGGATATAGGAGTTGACAAGCATGGGTACCAGCCGTCGTTCAAAAACACCAAAAGCTCGCCTCAAAAGTCTCAGGTTCATGTTCGCCACGTTCGCTGCTTTGGAACATTGGAGCGAATTCCCCAGACTTTCTTGCACAATGATACCTAAGTCTTTTTCTGTGGTCACGCGCCGTAAAGCGTACTGCCCCAAGAGGTACGTGTTGGCAAGATTGCTGCGCAATGACAGTAGGTGACACTTGGCAGGATTCAGTGGGAGATGATTTATATCTGCCCATTTGTTGATTCTATCCAAATCATTCTGGAGGAGGGCACAGTCTGATGTTGAGCGAATAACTCTCCAGATTTTTGCGTCATCTGCAAAAATTTGCATCGAGGATTGAATATTATCCGGGAGGTCGTTAATGTAGACCAGAAAAAGGAGGGGACCAAGGACGGATCCTTGAGGAACACCGCTGGAGATGCAGAGGGTTTCCGAGAGGGCATCGGCGACTCTGACCTTGATCGTTCTGTCATGCAAATATGCTGCTAGCCAGGTGAGTAGGGAACCATGGATACCGTAGGCACGAAGCTTATGAAGCAGAGCTAAGTGATTGACTCTGTCGAATGCCTTCGAAAAGTCTAGGTAAATCACATCAAGGGGAGATCCTTCATCAAGTGCTTTGGTCCATGAATCCCGAGCAAGAAGCAGATTTGTGAGGCAAGATCGTTTGCGCCTAAAGCCGTGTTGGAGGTGAGAAATTAGCTTCAGACTCTCAAAATATCGTGTAATTTCATCTGCAACTAACGATTCCATTACTTTTGATAACACAGGGAGGAGAGTAATGGGTCGGTAGTTGGCAGGATCCGATCGCTTACCTCCTTTGTATATCGGAGTGACTATCCCGCTTTTCCACTCAGACGGAAGTGTTTGGGAATTGAGTAGACTTTGGAAAAAGCTTGCGAGGTGTGCTGCTATGGTGGGAGCAAGAGTTTTAAGAACTTTGGGTCTGATCTTGTCGACTCCCGGAGCGCTATTTTCTCTTAGAGACCGTAGTTTGCTAGCGACAGCTGCTGAGGTAAAAGTGACAGTTGATATGCCGACCACGTTGGGTGAATGCTGGTTTGGCAAAGGTTCTATGGCGTTTGCAGTCACTGTGCCAAACTGCAGAAGTAATGCGTTCGCAGCATCCACAGCAGTAGTCGTTAGGCCACCATCCGTCTTGAGTGGTGGTATTCCTGTTTTAACTTTTCTTCTGCTGTTCACGTACCTGTACAGCAGTTTTGTATTGTTCGTGAATTTAAGTACCATGTTTTTTTGCCATTCGTACTTATCGGCTCTAATCAGTGATGTGCAATAGTTCCTCACTATTTTGTAATTCTCCCAGGTGGCGTCGCAATGGTTCAGCGCGTATTGTCTCCAGATCTCGTCTCTGGTGCTAATCCATTTACGCGTTCTGCTTCGGATCCAGGTGTTGGTCCGGCGCGGCACTCGTAATGGTATGACTTTTGACGCTGCTTGCGTGACACCGCTAATTTTGTCTTTTAGTTCGTTCCACGCGTCGTCTGCCGTGCTCTCTAGATTGAGGTCCCAGTTGACGGTTGTCGCTAGGCTGTGCAGCACGGAATAGTTGGTTATAGTTCGTCGGTTTTCATGTCTGATTTCAGTAGTATTGGCGTAACACACATAGGCAAAATTCAACACTGAGTGGTCACTGTTGCCTAATGGTGGATCGTATGAAATTGTCTCAATCATCAACTCTTCGTTGGTTAGGATTAAATCTAGAAGCGATGGCTTATTTGAACCGCGGTGTCTAGTTGGTCGGTGCACGTGGTTGTACAGAGCTGCTGTATCCATAAACTCGAGAATCTTTGATTTGAAGTAAGGACCGCTAGAAGTCGCTGAGACAATTGAGGGTACGTTAAAATCGCCCATGATTAGACAATGTGAGTACTTTTGAGAAACTGCATAATGAAGCGCGTTTAACAGGATGTCATCTTGGTCTGCGGTGGAGTTCGGTGGCCTGTAGACAACTGCCAACAGACAAGCATCCCACGTCTTCTTCGAAGGTTCACCACCTCGGCCATTTAGCTGCATTCGGCAAAACAAAGCGTCGGAGACAGCAAGGTGACGTTCGTTAATAGCCTCACATCTCAGACAATTCCGATAGTACAGAGCAACGCCGCCACCGCGAGATGGACGATCATTGCGAATAACTGACATATCACTGATTTCCATCTGTCGGAGTCGGCATAGCTGTGTCCTGTGGGGTCAGGGGGCCTGATCACCTAGTCGCTCAGGCTCTGCCGATGCTGCATATGCCGACTCTCTGACTTCTGGGTCTCTTATGCATACGATGATGATGGGCGCAACTTTCAGGTCGCTTGAGTTGAGCGCTCTGACGCGCGAGTCTTATGATAGGTACAGTCTTAATAGTATTTGTGCCGGCTGGCATCCTGTACTTCGGTGTCGTCGCTCTTTAGGTACTGTGGCGCTGATCTAGGCGACGGTGCAAGTTCGAGATATCCTCCTGGCGCTACTCGCTTGGTGCTCGCGTTCTCTGCGTTCGGTTTTGGCACAGCGCTGAGTATGCACATTGTCTGTCGCGTCTTTTGGGGGGGGCCGTTCACTCCGTTGCGCGGGGTGCGGGGGGGGGGGGGGCGAGTGGGGGGGGAGGGGGCACGGGCGGGGGGGGGGGGGGGGGGGGGGGGGGGGGGGGGATAACGCCGGACCGGCATGCGGGGCCGTCTCGCCCGGACTTTGTGCGGTTTGCCTTCGAGTGCCTTTCTAGGCGATATTTATTCTCCATAGTCTTTGTGCCCTCTTGTGGGTAGAGCTGACGCATTGGGCGAGTCGCGGCATAGGCCGTCTATCGCTGCGGTGCGCGTAGGTCTGGATCCGTCACAGACGGCCTTCTCTGCTGGGTCTTTGTGCTCATAGGCGCGCGGTCCGCGCCGGGGATCTCTGGGATTTGAGGGGGGGCCGGGTCACGCGCGTAGGGTTGGAGCGTCTACTCTCTGCCGCGTGTGGCGGGGATATTCGGGGCGGTGCGCGTCTCTTCTCGGTTTGACGGCGAGGGCGGAGCGGGCGCACAGAGGGGGCACGGGCTCTCTGGTAGGCTATAATGGCGGCTTGCTGCAGCGTCTCATTGTGGCGCGGAGTTAGCGGGGGGGTGAGCGATGTGACGGGTATGGAGCGCTCTGGACGGCGTCTTAGCATTTGGACGCGACTTGACAGCCGTGACCGCAGGGGAACGGTATGGGTGGTTCGTATACGGAAGCGGAGGGGTGAGAGAAAGGCGGGCTGCTGTTGACAGTGGACACGGTCTACTACTACAAGGGGGTCTAGAGTCTCTATCTGGCTACTAATCTCTATGATCATATCTTAAAAATATGGGGGGGGCGGGGGATCTCTCTATGCTCGACAGGCGCTCGCCGTTCAGGTCTCGTCTGGGCGTGTCGCGACGGGGTCCGGTGGTCCTTGGACGGCTTAGCTGCAGCCACCGCCTTCTCCAGCTCAGTACGTTTTGCCACAGTACCGAGGGAGAGAATGTTAAATTTACGCCGATTCACGACGGGAGTGCAATACATCGATTTACGAAAATATATGTACAGTTTGGTCCGGACCAATTTGTGATCAGTGCCACACTCAGCTCCACGCAGTACACGTGTCATGCGCACTTCACGCATATCACGCTGACGTACGATGACATAGTCGAGCAGGTGAGCGTGACCACTCCGTGGGTGCGTCCAAGTTGCTATATCACTCGCACTCAGTGCAAACCGAGTGTTCGTGATCGTCAGGCCGTGAGTGGCACACAGTGAGAGCAGCCTGTCACCGTTTGCATTCGCTGAACCAATGCCATGCGCACCGATAACATCTGTCCACGCTAATGCATCACGCCCAACGCGCGCGTTGAAATCACCCAGCAGAAATAGTCGGTCGCTCCTCGGCACAGACCGTATCACGGAGGATAGCTCAGTGTAGAACTGATCACGCGTGTCATCAGGATAACACATGGTCGGACCGTACGTGCTTATAAAAGTAGCAAACTTACAACTTCCGAGTCGTAGGCGAACAGTCATCAGTCGCGCGCTGATGCCCGTTGGTTCACCCACCAGCTGGC